TGTAATTAGTATTTGGGTGGTGAACATGATGTAATCTATGCAGAAATAGAAGTATAATGATGTACACCTGAAATTTATACAATGTTATAAACCAATGTTATTGCAATAAACAAAAAATTAAACAACAACAAAAAAAAGACTCTGAAAGAAACTTTGACATTCCCCCTACCTGCCTAAAAGGATTTAGATAGAAGGTCTGTTCCAGGAAGGACCTAATACCATAAAATAACTATAGTATAATATAAAATAGATGTGATCAACAGAAAGGCACGAGCAAGCCATTTTTATCAAAGGTCTGTCTCTCGGGTCACATTGTCTATAGATGGCCCAGCAAACACTTGTTTATCAAATATTTGCATTTCCCTTTCCATGTAAATTGCCTTTCTCCCCTTTGAAATCCCAAACCACTACCCCCAACATCTTCCTTTGTCTTTAGCTGAAGATGGTATTTAAGGTGGCGGCTTCCGCCATTTTGGCAAGTTGCTCAGTTTTCCTGGGTTTCTTTCATGTATACATGTTGTTAAACTTTGTTTTATTTTCTCCTGTTATTCTGTCTCATGTCAATTTAATTCTTAGACCAGCCAGAAGGACGTAGAAGGTAGAGGAATTGTTTTCCTCTCCTACAGGTGTGATTGAAGAGTAGGGTGTGAGTGACTGAAGCATTGGGTAGGAGGAAAGGGAGGTGGGAAAAGGTGAGAGAGGAAGCCATGTTACTTGGTGGGGAGAAGAATCAAGAGTTCTGTTTTGACCATGTGAGGTTTCCAGTGCTGCTAGAAGTCCATTTGGAAATGTCAGGAGGGCAATTAGATATATGAGCCTGGAGTTCTTGGAACAGGTCAGGGTTGAAGATATAGATTTTAGAGTTATCAGAAAACAGAAGTATCTAAAGCCATTGTACTAGATAAAGTTGTCTAGGGTTTGTAGCTACCGCAGAGAATTTGGCCCAGGTTATAACTCTAGTGTGCCCCAACCTCTCTAAGTTGAGAGGAGGGAGTGAAGTAAGAAAAGGAGCAAGAGAAGGGATGTCCATTGAGGTAGGAGGGAAACAAAAAGTGTGATGTCATGGCAGCCAGGAGGAGAAAGTGCTTTAAGAAGGAGACATGATTATCTGTGTCAAATGCTGCTAAGAAGTCAACAAAGTTACAAACAGAGACGTGACACTTGGATTTGTCAATATGGAAGTTGTTGGTTAACATACTGATGAATGCTATCTCAGGGGAGTGGAGGTGGGGCAAGTCTGATGGGTGTGGGCTGAGCAGGAAAATGTGAGGTGAGGAAGCAGAGACAGCACAGGGTGACTCTTTTAAGAACACTTTTTGTGAAAGGGGAAGCAATAAATGAGAGGGGTCTGGGGTCAAGTGAGGGTTTTCTTTCTCAGGGTATCAAATATTAAGTGCGTGTGTGTGTGTGTGTGTGAGACAGAGAGAGAGAGGGAGAGGGAGAGAGGGAGATTAATTGATTGCAGGAGTGATGTCCTGGGGAAGGCAAAAGGTATTGGGCTCCTGATCACAAGTGGAGGAATTTGCCTTTGAAGGGAGTAGAGATACTTTATCGATAGCGATAAGAGAGAGGCATAAGATATGGTTTCATATGTGGGCAGCTTGCTGGTTTTTGTGGTGGGAGATAAGGGATTCTTAGAATTCTTACAAATAACATGAGACAGTGCAAATAAGTAACTCCTAAAACCCTTGACCCTGGGAGGCCCTGGGAAGACATTTCCCCATCTCTCTTCTCCCAGATCTTAACCTGACACAACCCAATCCAACGGGAAGTCAGTCATATTCATGAAGACCCATCCTCTCCTTTCTTCTCTCTCCCGGGTTCTTTACTTTCCGCTCCCCTCATGGATCCTGAGATCCTCTTATTTGACTATGTACCATTTCTTTCTCCCACAATCAGCTCCTGAGCCCCCTACTTTCACTATACTTTGGCAATCAATGTCCCGGCTCAGAGTAATCTTGTCTCTGAATGGGGAATTTCTGATCTGGTATGGAAAGGGATGGGTAACGAGGGAGGAGGGTTCAGTGATGAAAGAATCCCAAGGGTTGTTTCACTTACCCACTCCTCCCCCGAGCTCTGCTTCCTCCACCAAGGCCTCTCCCTGATCTGCCTCACAGCTGTGTAGCCTTCTCCCTTAGAGAGGCCTGAGTAGGACGATGAACCTGGAATCTCCTGATGCTGATCTCCCTCCTCCCCTACCTGTTATGGCTAACCCTAGTTTATCTGCTGTGGGGTTGTGAGCCCCACAGTGGGGTTGTGAGTTCAGGTGGCCAGCACTGGTAGGGGAGGCCATGTGGACATTCTCCAGAGACCACAACTTGTTTGACCTATTGTTCCTTCTGCCCTCCTGATGACCTGGCTGATTGTGGGCTCTTGGATGTGAAATCTTCTCTCTGTGGCCAAGATGCCCTCGGGCTGTGGAGAAACATCAGCTGGTGAGGGTGACACAGAGAGGGAGGACCCAGTGGGCCTGTTGGAGAGAACGAGGGGAACCATACATCCAGAAGGTCCTACATTGGCTGCCTGAGACCCAGTGCCTTCTTCCCTGGGAGCAGGTACATGGAGGGGATGGCTGGTCTTTTCCACAAGAATGATGAAGCCGTGAAGGATGATCCAGAGCTGCAGGCCACTGAGACTGGCCCAGGGTTGTCCAGGACGGGAAGTAAAGCACAGACTCCTCCTCATTGACCTTGTGTCAACTCACACCATCTGTCAACAATCCACACCTTCTCACATCATGAAAAGTTACCCTATCTTGGGGGCCCTGAGAATTTCTGGACCTCTCCAGAAATCTAGTGATCACTCCTGATTCCTCAGCCCCCTTCCTTTCTCACCCTCCCATACAGCATTCCCCATCTGCATGCACTAAGAACTTCCTCTGGAACCAGATACACTTCTCTTAGGCATTTTCTCTCACCCTTTCCTACCCTCTCCCCATAGCACAAGGTTCATCCAAGTCCATCAAGATCTGAGTACACACCATGTGTGAGCCATCAAGTCTGGAGGCCACAACCACAGACAGAAATTCTTTTCTGTATCTCCAAATATCTTTCACTGCCTGAGATCTGTCTCATGTCCTGGTCTCAAAGCCTCTAATTCTTTTCATTTCACCCAGGTTCCCCTGTTTCTTTTATACCTTTAATTCTGAAAACCTCATTTCTGACCCTTTATCTAGTATGCCAAGATTCTCCAGCTCTTCTTCCATACCTCAAGACCTATCAACTCTCTTGAGTTGATCCCAGCACGGTTTATTGAAGAGCCCATCCTCTCTCCCTGATCTATAATGCTAACATAAATCAAGTTGCCATATCTGAATGGGAGTATTTTTGAGCTTCCTATCCTGTTCCAATCACATGTTTGTCTTACGCTGCACCACACTGACATATTACACAACTTATATATTTATTTATGTATTTATTTTTAAAGATTTTATTTATTTTCCCCCCAAAGCCCCAGTAGATAGTTGTATGTCATAGTTGCACATCCTTCTAGTTGCGGCCTCAGCATGGCCGGAGAAGCGGTGCGTCGTGCGCACCCAGGATCCGAACCCGGGCCGCCAGCAGCGGAGCACGCGCACCTAACTGCCAAGCCACAGGGCCGGCCCTACACAACTTTATAGTTAACATAATCTACTATTTCATAAGACATATTTTTCCAATTTGTCCTTGAGAGGTGCCTCGGCTTCTCTTGGACTCTTGGCCTTTCACACAAGTATTATATCAGCTTGTCATTCTCCACATAAAACCTATGGTGACTTTTATTGGACGTGCATCTAAATAAAGTTTTTAATCTTTATTTAAACCAACTTTGCATTCTTGAGCTATATCCCATTTGTCATTTTATACATTGTTGAATTCCAAAATTATTAATATTTTGATGACAATTTTTGCATGTATGTTCTTATTTTGGTTAGCTTATAATGATCATTTCTTGAGCAATCCTTTTCTGGTTTAAGATCCTTATAATTACCCTTAGTGAGTTGGATAGTCTTTCTCATTTTTTTGCGTTTTTCTCTAGAAGATCACCTCTATGGTATTATCTTTTCATTAAATGTTTTATAGAACTCATCTTTACAATTGTCTCTTTGTGATGGGGTTTTTTTGGTGGGAATATTTTTAACTACCTATGAATATTCTTTGTAGAACCATTCAAATTGTATTTTTTCTTTAGTCAGATTTAGTTCTACTCTTTCTAGGAAGTTTAAAAAATTTCATCAAATGTATTGTCATGTTCAAAATATTCTCTTATTTATTAATTATCTGCAGCAACTGTAATTCGGGCTACATTTCATTGCTAATCTGGTTTATTTGTACATTCTTCCTTTTTTTTTCTTGATCAATCCTGCCAGGAGTTTGGAGTTTGGAGATTACAGTCTGAGTACAAGAGATGAAATGGAGACCTGGGCTTCTTATAATAACTGATATCAACAGGGACAAAGGGCTTGGAGATATTAGTTCCGATGATCCCAAGTCAGATAAGGATGATGAAGTTAAAAACCCTAAAAGGATATGGGGTGAATGAATGATTTCTTTTTTTATCATGAAAGGATGTTGCTTTTTCTGCTTCTATTGAGATTATCATGTGGTGTTTTTCCTTCATTCTATTAATATGGTGTATATCGTTTGATTTTCACATGTTAAAACAACCTTGCATTCCTGAGATAAACCCCATTTGGTCATAGTGTAAAATCCATTTAATATGCTGCGGAACTTGATTTGCTAGAATTTTGTTGAGGATTTTTGCACCTGGATTCATAAGGAATATTGGGTCTCTAGCTTTCTTTTCTTCCAAGGTCTTTCTCAGGCTTTGGTATCAAGGTAATAATGATTTCACAGAATGAGTTGGGAAGTGTTCCCTCCTCTTCTATTTTTTGGAAGAGTTTGACAAGGATTAGTGTTAATTCTTTTTACTTTTGGTAGAATTCACCAGTGAAGCCATCTGGTCCTGGGTTTTTCTTTGTTGGAAGATTTTTTATTAGTGTCTCAATCCCTTTATTTTTTATAGGTCTATTCAGATTTTCTATTCCTTCTTCAGTGTTATTTGTGTGTTTTTAGGAATTTGTCCATTTCATCTAGGATTTCCATTTTTGTCGACATGCAATTGTGCATAGTATTTAATGCTTTTTATTCCTGTAAATTCAGTGGTAATGTCCTTCTTTCATTCCTGGTTTTAATAATTTGAGTCTCCTTTCTTTTTTTCTTAGTCACTTTAGCTAAAGATTGTCACTTTCATTGAACTTTTCAGGGAACCAACTTTTGGTTTCATTGATTTTCTAATTGGAATTTTAATACACAGCCTTCTGATTTTAATAGACTCTCCACTTTTCGGGTAAAATAATTACTTTAGTTATTGTTTTGGATCCAGTGATTTCATGGGAGGATAGAAGCCTCTATCCCACTTTTTTCCTTTGCATCCCCAAATTCAATTAAAAAAATGAGAAAATGGACTCTTAAGCCCTCCCTTTCTTATTATTACTTTTGCTGGGCTCAGCAATATAGTCTGAGGCCTGATATGTGAAATTTGTGAGGTATAGGGGAACCAGTGAGGTACCATGAAATAGAGTATAGATTTGGGCCAAAGAGAACACCTCAGCTATAAGATGTCCCCATTGTGGATATGACTCTAACAGGTGCAGCTGGAAATCACAGCCAAGCACCCAGGTCATGGGCAAGAGCCGGGCCATGGGATGCTCTGAGATCTGAGAGTGGTGTGATTAAGGCTTGGTTGAGGTGCTGGACCAACTGGAGCTATAGCAAGAAGATGTGGATGCTAGATGATAGGAGACAAAGGAAATTAACACTATAATGCTGAGTATTGACCCCATTTTTAAGAGGGGGAAACTAAGAGTGTGATATTAAGAACACTGTTCAAAACCATAAAGTTTAAGAGGCAGATAAGGACTTAAAACCACATTTTCCTGAGTCTAAAGCCTCATTATTTGATATCAGTACAGCCTTCTGGGTCTCCTCACCACGTGACCGTAGATAAGAGTGTCCCACTGTGCTAAGATGTCAGCATGACCAAGTCTTGCTGGCCATGGGCCAGATCCCATCAGTCAAAGAGAGCTTAACCTCAAATAGGAGCCCTGCCTACGGTGGGAACGTGGAGTGTGAGCGACAGAGCGGTGGTGTTGGAGGGAGCTCCAATGTGGCTGGCCGGGTAAAAGCTGATTCCCCAAGTTTCCAGGTTAATTTTTTCATTAGTGATATCAGTCTTCCCCAGAGGTGCTGGGTCATCCAGTTCTAGTAATAGCACACAGAAATGTGCCTTAGAGGAAATGACTGTGTGTGTGCATGCGTGTGTCTGTGTGTGCATTGGTAAAAGCTGTGTCAGCTATGGCCATCACTTTGGGGTCCCAAGCTTACTCTGGCATGGAGAGCCCATATCTGAGCATAACCCTGAGGAGAGGAGTGTTCTAAGAAGGCTTTGATCATCCCACGGCGTCTTGAAGCTGTCATTGTGGTGAAGTCATCTGTAAGGGTGCAAAACAGGCCCTTTAACAGACCAGACTTTCTGGATTCTTCCTTTTTGAGGTCAGTCATTGTAAACATGGCTGACCCTTTGGGCAGAGTGGGAATCCCTACAAGTCACAGAGTAGACATCTTGCAGTCAGAAGGATGTGCTCAGATGCTCAGAATAATCATAATTTATACAGTAATAGACAGATGCCCTTATTCCGCAGCTCATGGTTGAAACTCGAAACATGTTAAATAATTCTTTCTACAGCATGATTCACTTTACCTGGGAAGAAAATCTTGGCTTTTTGCCCCTATACGTAAAGCTCTTGGGCTGCTACTGCTTCCCTTTTCTTCTTAAGATCACCCAAAAGCACAGAAAGCCAGGTCTGCCTTACGTTGTTTTATCAGGGGGCAATGAAAGAGAAAAGTAGGGTGGACCTGAGGATTTCATGAAGCTAGGTCTTTGGAAATCCTCTAGTTCAATCATCCGAGGTCAGTCTGGAGGTGGGCGTGGTGTAATCTAAGGGAAGTGGGCGGGAGATTGGGAAACACTTGGTCACACCTTGATTCAGTCACCCTGTTCTAGAATTTGACCCTCAGATTTTTAAAACCTGGATCAGACAAAGAGAAACTGATGCACACACTTCAAATGCCAAGTCCCTTTCTCTGAAAACAAAGGTGAAAATAATGCCCACTTTATCTCACAGCTATTAAGATTACATGAGCACAGATATGAAACGGGGTTTGAGATGAATCACCAGTTGGGGTTCCAATTAACACAGTCACATATCCTTTAATGCCCACAGTGCCAAAGTCACCTGATGTGCTGAGAACCAGTTCTCCCTGTGACAACCTAGGTCTTGGTATGGACCCCATCCAGACACCTGTTCAGAGCCCTGATCCTTTATGCTTCTGAGTTTCCCTGTTGTCCTTTCCCTGCCAGCTGACTTCAGAACAACCCAAATCTCTCAAAATGTTCAAGAACTTTGAACCTCAAAGGAAAAGGATTTGTGTCCTTTTCTTCCTCCCTGAAGGCTCTTTGCCCCCTTTGTAAAATCATGTATGCTGATAGATGTATTGGGGAAAATATCAATTAAATATATCCATCATTAACATTTAAACTCCAAGACACTGTAATATCAAAAAATTCCATTATTAGAACTATATCCATATCCATATCTCCCCAAATAGTGGGTGGATGATTGCTCTAAGTTGAATAAGAAATAACCATTCTGGGACATTCTCTGATACAAAGAAGAGCAATCTTGAAGTGACATTATTGCTCTAGTGCTAACAGCAGAAATGGTTTGCAATTGATAGAAATGGCTACCAGTTTTCCTACAAAGAAAAAAAATGCTTCCAAATAAATGTACAGCCCTGCCAGGAAATTTCATTTCATGACCACTCTGATTCTTTCCCCAATGTACAACCAAGGAGGAACTATAGAAATAAGACCACCAAAAACCTGTGAGAGACTCACTAGCTGACAGGGGCACTGTTTTGGACTGGTGTGGCTAGGATGGTGAGTTAGGCCTGGAGGGAACTGTCCTGCTTAGTTGCGGGCATATCAATTAGGAGAGAAATTGCTGAAGTTCTGCTCTTGTTTATCCCCTGAATGACTTTGGGATAAACACCCACTGTCCCCAACTCACATTAACTCAAACCTCTAGTCCAGGTGAACATAGGAATAAAATCAAGGCAGAAGCAGAAGTCTTGTGCTTGTAAGGATATAAGAAAAACAGGTAAATACAACATGAATGTTTAGATTAGATTAGTATAAACTCCAAACGGTTGCATAAAGCATGATACTGTTTGTTTTTAAAAATTGGGTTAACATAATTGAAATATACTTTATGAATACATATAGGTGCAATACAACTATGAAAAAGGGGAGGGAGTTTTTCTGCTTCCAGCCATGAGAAAGTAAGATGTTTCAGAGTTACCTTCCCACCATAAACAAATAGAAAACTGTACAAAATATAGAAAACAATTTTTTTAGGCACTGAAAAATAGTCAATGTGGTACTGTGATGCCTGAGGAAAGGGAAATGAAACGAGCTCTCTCATCATCCAGATTTTCTTCATGGAGTTAATTCCTAGACTGTGCACAGTGAGGGAGAGCCCAAACTGGGTCAGACAATCTTACTGAGTTGAGGAGACAGAGATTGGAGTCAGGGAGGCCAAGAGGGCTAGAAATTGCAGGGCTACATATACAAGAGGGGCAAGCTACACAAAGAACTCCAGATATCCACATAGGAGTCCTTTTGATCCTTTGGCTGAATACCAGTGTGCACGTGTGTGAAGTGAAACCCTCTGAGACCAGAAAAGAAAAACTTCCTGGGAAGAACATTTACCATGTTTTCTCCTAAGTCATCTTTGAGGAGTTTTATAGTTTTGCTTTTTATATTTAAGTCTGTGATCCATTTTGAGTTAATTTTTGTGAATGGTGTAAGGTCTGTGTCTAGTTGTTCCAGCACTATTTGTAGAAAAGACTGTCTTTGCTCCATTGTTTTGCCTTTGCTCCTTTGTCAAAGATCAGTTGATTTTATGTATGTGGATCTATTTCTGGGATCCCTGTTCTGTTCCACTGATCTATTTGTCTATTCTTTCACTAGTGTCATATCATCTTGATTACTATAGCTTTGTAGTAAGTCTTGAAGTTGGGTAGTGGCTACAACTTTATTCTTCCCCTTCAGCATTGAGTTAGCTATTCTGGGTCTTTTGTCTCTTCTTATAAACTTTGGAATCAATCTGTTGATATTCACAAAACAACTTCCTGATATTTTGATTAGGATTGTATTTAATCTATAGATCTAGTTGGGAAGAACTGACATCTTGACAAGATTGAGTCTTCCTATCCATGAACATGGACTATCTCACTATTTATTTAGTTCTCTTTTAATTTCATTCATTAGTTTTGTAGTTTTCCTCATATAGATCTTGTACATATTTTGTTACATTTATATCTAACTATTTCACTTTAGGGGGTGCTAACATAAATGGTATTGAGTTTTTAATTTCAAGTTCCACTTGTTCATTGCTGGTACATAAGAAAGTAATTGACTTTGGTATATTAACCTTGTATCCTGCAACCTTACTATAATTACTTATTAGTTCTAGGAGTTATTTTTGTCAATTCTTTTGGATTTTCTACATAGATGATCATGTCGTTGATGATAAAGACAGTTTTATTTCATCCTTCCCATATATGCCTTTTATTTCCTTTTCTTATGTTACTGCATTAGCTAGAAAATCCAGTATGAAATTGAAAAGGAGTGGTCAGAGGGGACATGCCTGCCCTGTATCTGATCTTATGGGAAAGCTCCAAGTCTCTCACTATTAATTAGGATGTTAGCTGTAGGGGTTTTTTTTTTGTAGATGTTCTTTGTCTAGTTGAGGAAATTCCCTTATTATTTCTTGTAATTTATTTTGATGACACAAGTTGTTTGTCTCTCATTCTGGATTTTTCTGGTTGTATCTATGTGGTGTTATTTAATATGTTCCTTTGTCCTCTATATTTCCTGTGATCTGCATTTCTACAGATTTGATGAAAATAACAAATAATTTTTTTTTCCCCCAAAGCCCCAGTAGATAGTTGCATGTCATAGTTGCACATCCCTCTAGTTGCTGTATGTGGGACGCGGCCTCATCGTGGCCGGAGAAGCGGTGCGTCGGTGCCCACCCGGGATCCGAACCCGGGCCGCCAGCAGTGGAGCGCGCGCACTTAACCGCTAAGCAACGGGGCCGGCCCTGAAAAAATAACAAATAATTTATTTTTTTTTTTGGCAAAATGACTTCGAAGGCATTGCTAAATATTCCATCATAAAGGACATAGTCTGTAGCAGTCTCTTTTTTTGAATTCAGCCACCATAGATAACCACTTCCTGGATTTATTCTTTTATTAGAAGATGCAAGGTGTTGGTATTCTAATTCCATCAGCTTACTTCATTTACTACCTGGAATGTATCTAAGAAGAGAAATTCCACATAAGACTGCTTGGATTGGAAATGAACAAGAATGTTGACTTGAACATGGTTTAAGGTTTATTTTCACACTTAGTTTATTGTCAAATCAGCAAGAATAGGGTAAAAGATATAGATCAGGCATAGCAGTCGAGGTAGACAAAGTAGCTACAGTTTCACGATAATTCTTTTCCTTTTGCTTGTGGAGGCTTGCTGGATGTTCAGTGGTCATACAAAGTGAAGATGCATCAGGGCAGTGAAGTCTGGAATAGTAAGCTTGCTGCCTTCTGTAGCATTAGATTGGTGAAATAGTGTAAGGTATGCTCTGTCAGCACTCAGGGATTCATGTCATTACCACGTAAAGAAATTCTTGCTGTACTACAGTTATACACTGTTATATATACTTCCTGTTCAACTTATTTATTCATCGTTAAGCCCAGAGCAGACTTGACCATGGATGGCATACCACACCTGTGTGAGGGACTTAGATTTTATTTTATGTTTAATAGGAAGTTATAGAAGGTATTAAGCAGCTAAGACACTACTTTCTATTAGGAGGGGAAATCTGCCATGAGCCCTGAGTGCCCCCGAACATTCCTGCTGGGTATTCTAGGAATGCAAGACCTTTATTGCTCTTTATGTGGGCTATTTCTCAAGAGTTGTGTTTGTAGCAAGCAACCTTGAGGGATGAGGTAATATCACCCCCAGACAGAGAACAGACTTCCTTCCACTTAGTGTAAAAAATGGTGAATCCCCCAAACTCAGTGGTCCTCTCCTGTAATGCAACCTGCAGTAGGTGCAGGCATCCATCCAGGCCACCTGAGTCACCACCATGGAACTTAGGGGCAGGAGGAACTGATGGAATATGAACCTCCGGCTCTTGCTTTTGCTGTGAGTAATAACGTTCTTTAGGACTTTGAATAGGAGTCTTGTGTCTTCTGCCACCATCTCTCAAACAGTAGCAGGCTAACTGGCTAGCTTTTAAGTAAAGTAAAATCCGAGATTTCTCATAGTTCTTGACACTTTTCACCCACCAGACTGGCAAAAATTTTTTAAATGATAATTCCCCGTGCAGGTGAGAATGCAGAGAAAGAGCACTCTGATAACATGCTACAGGCTTTTTGGAAAATATTTGATCATATCTGTTAATATATATTGATATCATGTCACTCAGCAATCTCACTTCTGGGAATCAATCCTATAAATATAAAAGCTCCTGCATATAAAGGTGTACATAGAAAGGTGTTGATTAAAGCACTCATCATGGCTAATACTCCTGGGAACAACCTGGACGCTCATCAAGAGGCGAATCCTTAGAGCTAATGAAGAGTGTAGTTGGTTCTCTATCTATTGATCTGAAGATATTCCCATCATGTACTGTTAACTGTGGAAAGCAACTTCCAAGGAAAAAAATTTTATAGCGTGACCTCACCTTCCTCAAAGCCCCACTTCTCAGCATTGAGCTGAGAGGAACAGCCTGTCCACACCCCATGGGCTAATCACATGCTCTTGTCTGGGGTGGGGACCTAGGAGTGCCCCGAATCCTGGAGTGAGCAGGCTCGCAGAGTCCTGCTTTATTAAGTCCTGGACTGGTCCTGCTGGCAACACAAGACCTGGCTGCGGAATTCTTGCTCGGTATCATTAACTGAACCTCTGAAGCTCGGGCAAACTCACCCACTGCCGTGGGCCGCTACCGCATCCGCGTGGCCACCGGGGCCTCGCTCTTCTCCGGGTCGCACAACCGCGTGCAGCTGTGGCTGGTCGGGGCGCGCGGGGAGGCGGAGCTGGAGCTGCAGCTGCAGCCGGCGCGGGGCCAGGTCAGCGGACGGGAGCGGGGACCCCGACCCTGGCCCGGGCTGGGCTCGCGGCGGGAGGGCGGCCCGGACGCGGGAGGCCGGGGGCCAGTGACAGCGCGACCGCGCCGGCTGGGACTTCCAGGGAGTTGGGACTCCGGCGTCAGGAGCGGGAAGAGGGTCGGGACGCAGGGCCAGGCTGGTCTCAAACCCTTCTCCCTTCCCGACTCTGGTCCTCGCAGCCTCCAACTCCTTCCCCAAATGACCCCAGAGCCAGTGGCACTATAGGATCCATGTAGGGTCAGTGGTCGAACGTGAAGCTCCCGGGAGAGCGCGGGCGCAGTGAGAGCTCAGTAAACGGACCGATGCGGGTGATGATGCTCAGTCATCAATTCCAGACACTGCGGGCCACGCCCCGCGCTCCCTTGTCCTCCCCGCGATCGGGCGTCCGAGGCCCACCGCGCAGGTGTCGGGAGGAGGGAACGCTGTCGTTGGAGGCCTTGTCAACGGAGACTCCACAAAGGTCCCCGCCTCTCTTCGGCCCCACCCCGCCTTTGACCCCCCCAACCCCAGCCCCAACCCCCGACAAAACGGCCTCTCCCGGTCCCTGCTACTAAGTCCCGCCGGGTTGTGGCCTCCGCAGGACGAGGAGTTTGATCACGACGTTGCGGAGGACTTGGGGCCACTGCAGTTCGTGAAGTTGCGCAAACACCACTCCCTGGTGGACGACGCGTGGTTCTGCGACCGCATCACGGTGCAGGGCCCGGGAGCCTGCGCGGAGGCCGCCTTCCCGTGTTACCGCTGGGTGCAGGGCGAGGGCGTGCTGAGCCTGCCCGAGGGCACCGGTGAGGGGCAGTGTCTGGGGAGAGGGGGTAAGGCCTCGGGAACTGCCTGGGGTTGCGGGTGGGATAGGGCTGAAAAGGGAACTTAAGGAGGGGATAGACTCAGGGCAGATTAATGTAGGGAAACAAAGGAAGCAAGAAAGGGAAGAGAGAAATAGTTATAAAGTCCTGAAGTAAAATATAGACTAAAAGAGGCTGCCGGTGAGGCTGTGGCCAGAAAATAAGTGATCTGGAGATCTGGTCTTCCGAGAAGGTGAGGACAGGGAATGGGAGTTGCGGCAATGATGGAGAACTGAAGAATGAAGTAAAAGTGGAAAGGAGACCTCTGTGTGATGGAGAACAAGTTAGGGCAGTGACAGGTCAGGGTGTACATGGCATAGGAGATGGTGGGTGACCCCCAAGAGGAGACAGTTAGGGAAGCAAACGATATAAACTCGGAGAGCTGGAATGTTAGAAAAACATGGAAGACCAGTGTGAGAGACAGGGAGCACACGGCAGGAGGTGGGAATGAGTAAGTGCAGAAAATACAGAATCTTTTACCTTAGGAAATAAGTAGGAGAGACAATTGAGAGAAAGGACAGGTAAGAATGGAAACATGAAATAGGCGTCTTTGAAAAGCAAGTATAATTACAGGTGAGGGCAGGAACAGGTCAGGTTAACAAATGTAGACAATGTGGTGTTGAGGACAAGTGAGATAGAGCCAGGGAAAGGTAGCAACATGAAACCATTTGTTCTCCAGGACAGGTGGGATGGTACGTTTGAGGATGGCACATACAGAATATCTTATCCCAGGGAACAGGGGAAGGTGGAGACAGGCGAGGTCAGTGTGTGTAAGTGCACCTACCTGGAAATGTGTCATTTGGTTTTTTTGGGTTTTTTTGTGTGTGTGTGAGGAGGCCAGCCCTGAGCTAACATCCGATGCCAATCCTCCCCCTTTTTCCTTGAGGAAGAGTGGCCCTGAGCCAACATCCGTGCCCATCTTCGTCTACTTTATATGACACCGCCACAGCATGGCTTACCAAGGGGTGCGTCAGTGCGCGCCCGGGATATGAACCTGCGAATCCTGGGCTGCCGAAGCGGAGCGCGCACACTTAACTGCTTGCGCCACCGGGCCAGCCCCTGGAAATGTGTCATTTTGGAGGACAAGTTAAGGTGTGGACAGGGGAGGACCAAGACAGGGGAGATTAACAAAGTGATATGGGATAATGTGGGATAGGTGTGGACATTTCAAGTGATTAAGCATTAAATTCATACACAATGAAGAATAGGGAAATTCGAGTTAAGGGTTAAGAAAAGGTGTCAAAAATGAGATTTTTGTCTCAGGACGAATATGAGATCTGAGATTGGTGAAATCAAGAAACGGGAGTGGGCAAAGATGAAATAAATTGCCAGGGAATTAATCAGGAGAGCCAGCCAGAGAAAAAGGCAAAAGAGTCTGATGCAATACAGTTAAGAAATAGGAGACTGGGATAAGCCAGGGCATAGCGCGAGATTGGACAAAGCAGTGTGGTCAATTGCATTAATGTCTCCCTAGCCCACCTGGCAGGAAACAATGCCTTGGACGTGTTCTGGAAGCATCGAGAGAAAGAACTGTAGGAAAGACAGCAGATCTACCAGTGACTACCCTCCCATGAGCCTCCCAATTGCCCCACACCTTCCCTGACACTTCCTCCATCGCTGACTTCTACCCTCTCCATTAACTTTTGTCCCCATCTCCTAGCAGGGCCACCTAGAAGCAAGAGTTACCCCTGACAATAGCTGCGGAGTGTAAGGATGATCTATGTCCAAATATGAGATTCCACGAGGAGAAGGGACAGGACTTTGAATGGGCAGTTAAGGCAAGGTGAGGAAATGGTCAGAGTGGAGTGGGGCCGGTGGATCCAGCAACAGTAGGATTTGGTAAATTGATGGTTTCATCCTCAATATCTGTTCTAAGGTTATGGAAATTGCCATCAAACATGTTTATACCCTCCCGAGCTCCTGGAAATGCCTGGAGGTTTTTGATCAGATCTTCTGAGGACAAAAGAGTGCCCTGGCTGGTCAGTGGTTTCTCCAGGTCTCCATAACACCTTGATGGCCCTTTTAATTACCTATCTGTCACACTCCATAGTCCCCAAAACTGCTTGCCAAAAAAGACCTTATTGTGCCTGGTGATCTCACAGAGGCCTCAAGAATGAGAAGCGGGGGCTGGGTACAGAGCAGTCATGTGACTAAACCCCTGAAGTAGAGGCTAGAGGAGAGGAATATCAGGGTAAATATCCTCCGTCCACACCACAACCCAACCCCCACAGAGAGGGTTCACTGGTGCCGGCAGGATGATGAACTTTTTGGCTACCAGTTCCTCAATGGCCCCAACCGCATGCTGTTGAGACGCTCCACCTCTCTGCCCTCCTAGTTGGTGCTGCCCATGGGGATGGAGGAGCTTCAGGCCCAGTTGGAGAAAGAACTCCAGGTACATCCTCCCACCCTGCATTGTTCTTTTCTTGGCAGTGTGGAAGGAAAATTGGTGAAGGGGGGTTACCAAAGATGAGTCAGGGAAGGGACCTGCGCTAAGCCACTGCCCCTGGGTGCAGAGTCCTGTGCTGGAAAAACCTAGAGATGATAAGGTATGTAGAGGAAAAGCTTTGAGGCTGGTTACAGCCAAACAAGGTAGACCATCAGGAGATGCCGGGGAAAGGAGCTTGGACAACTTGACAAGGGGAGAGCTTAATATACCTGTGGTGCAGAATCAATGTGCAGGCCTAGTTCTAAAACGACCTCTGCCACAAACAAGCTGCATGTCCCTAGGGAAGACTCCCCTCATTGGGTCTTATCCCTTACCATAAAATGAGAGGACTTGAACCTGATGCTCTGGATGCTTCCTTCAGCTCTGCCACTAGGACTCTGGTACGATGTGGGATAACGGCGAGGAACTAGACTGAATGTCTACATCTTCCCCTTTGCCTTGGCCCTCTGGAGGTATGCTTTCAAGTTTAACTATGGATACATTCCCCCTTTCCTCAGAACAGTTCCCTGTTTGAAGGTGACTTCATTCTGCTGGATGGAATTCCAGCCAACGCGATCTGAGGAGAAAAGCAGTACCTTGCTGCCCCCCTCCTGATACTGAAGATGGAACCCAACGGGAAGCTGCTACCCATAGTCATCCAGGTGAGGTGCCCTGGGAATCTCCCTCCCAAAACTGTTCTCTGTTCACCCCAACCTCTGCCCAGAGACAAAGACCACTGGCTCTTGTCCCCCAGTCTCACCTCATTCAGTGAGACCGTTTTGTCTCCCATCACTCCTTTCTTCTTTGCAGCCTGCTCACTACTCACCTGGAATCGCCTGTTTGAGAGTCATAATGGTCTCTGTTGGTTCTCACCCTAAGGCAACTCAATCTCTTTGTGACCTCTGAATCTGTGGAATACACCTTCTTTCTTAAATGTCTTTTTCCCTTGGCTTTAATGATTTTCCACTCCTACTATTCTCACAATTAGTTGACACGTACTATCAATTTCTCACTCTTACTTTCCCCTTCCCCTTCCCCCACCATAGCTCAGACCCCATCACTTTTTCCCCAGACCACTGTTAGGATCTTCTTACTGGACTCCCTGCTTCTGACTCTCCTGTATTCAACCTGATCATCATGGCGCTCACACGGTGCCACAGTTAGATAAGGCTGGGTGGAAGGGTTCTCAACCCTCCTACTAGATTATAACCTTCTGGAAGGCAGTAGTCTTACCTTAGCCATCTCTGTTTACCCCAGAATGCTGAGAATGGTGCCTTACACATGGTCAATGAATGTTTAATTCCTCTTTATTGCAGACCCAGCCTTCCACCCCCAGCACGCCACCCCACCACTGTTCCTGCCCTCAGATCCTCCACTTGTCTGGCTCCTGGCCAAACGCTGGGTCTGAAATTCAGATTTCCAACTGCAGGAGCTCCAATATCACTTGCTGAACAACCATCTGCTGGCTAAAGTCATCGCCGTGGCCACTGTGAGGTGCCTCCCAGGGCTGCACCCTGTGGCTTGTCCTCTCATTCTCTCGACAGTGTCTTTTGCATAGCAGAGGGTTTTTATTGTAATGAAGTCTAGTTTATCAATTATTTCTTTCATGGATCATGCCTTTGGTGTTGTATCTAAAAAGTCATCTCCAAATCCAAGGTCATCTAGATTGTCTCTTATGTTATCTTCTAGGAGTTTTATGTATACTTTACCATAATTTTGAAAAATAAAAAAAACAGATATAGGGCTCTTCAATTTTCTATTTCTTCTTGTGTCAATTTTGGTAAATTATATTTTTCAAAGAAGTTGTATATTTCATATAATTTATTAAACTTACTGCCATAAAGACATTGATAACATCTCATTATTTTTAATGGTAGTATGTATCTGTCCTTCCACCAATGCTACACAGTCTTGATTACCGTAGCTACAGAGTAAGGCTTAATATCGAGTAGAGTTATTCCTCTCACTCTATTCTTCCATGTCAAGATTGTTTTAGATATAGTAGGGCCTGTGCTTTCCCATATAAATTTTACAATAAGCTTGTCTATGTCTACAAAAAGCCTTATTGGGATATTGATAGGAATTTTATTAAACCTATTGATCAATTTGGGGAAAACTGACATATTCCATGAACACTATATATCTCTCTATAATTTGGATCTTCTTTGATTTCTTTCATTGGAATTTTGTAATTTTGAGCATCCATATCTTGTACATATTTTGCTAAGTGTATACCTAAGTATTTCATTTTATTTGGAGTGATTATAAATGTATTCCATTTTAAATTTCAGTTTCCATATACTTATTGTTATTATATAGATATTGGTTTATCTTTGTGTGTTGATATTTTTGCGTGTTGATATTGTATCCTGTGACCATGGTGAACACACTTATCAATTTTAGGAGGGTTTTTTTTGTGTGTAGATTCCTTAGGATTTTTTTTTTTTTTCCACGAGGAAGATCAGCCCTGAGCTAACATCCATGCTAATCCTCCTCTTTTTGCTGAGGAAGACCAGCTCTGAGCTAATGTCTATTGCCAATCCTCCTCCTTTTTTTTTTTTCCCCAAAGCCCCAGTAGATAGTTCAGTAGATAGTTGTACATCGTAGTTGCACATCCTTCTAGTTGCTGTATGTGGGACACCGCCTCAGCATGGCCGGAGAAGCGGTGCGTCGGTGCACGCCCAGGATCCGAAACAGGGCCACCAGTAGCAGAGCATGTGCACTTAACCACTAAGCCACAGGGCCAGCCCCTCCTTAGGATTTTCTATGGGGACAATATGTCATCTGCAAATAGAGATAATTTTATTTCTTCCTTCAAGTATGTATGATTTTTGTTTTTCTTGCCTTATTGCAGTGGTTAGAACTTTCAGTACTATGTTGGATAAGAATGGTTATAGTGGATATTTTGTTCCAGATCTAGAGGGGGAGCATTCAATCTTTACCCACTAACTGTGATGTTAGCTGTGGGTTTTCTGCAGATGCTCTTTATCAAGATATAGTAATTCCCTTCTGCCTTCTTTTTGAATCAAATATTTTTATTTCATTTTCCTTTTAGCCTGTGTGTGTGTGTGTGTGTGTGTGTGTGAGTGTGTACTGCAATTTTTGATGGTTATATGACGGATTACAACATTCATCTTTGATTTACTGTAATAAGATAAATTAGTACCTTGACCATATACCCAATAATACGAGTATCTCAGAAACATTTTAACTCCCTCCTCCTGCGTTATTGTCGTGCATTGTAATTTCAAGTATATTTTAAACTCTACAATATCAATATCATTCCAATATCAATATTCACTTATATTTGCCCACATATCTACTCTTGATATTTTCCTTTCTGTATTTCTGTGTTTTCCTCTAGGATCATTTTCCTTCTTATAATTTTGTGTGTCCTTCATGAAACATTTTCCTTCTGCTAAGGAATTCTCTTTATTATTATTTACAGACCATGTCTGTTAGAGATAAATTCTCTTACTTTTGTTTGTCTTAAAATGTCTTTATTTTTACTTCATTTTGTAGAATATTCTCACTGAGTATAGAATTCTAGGTTTAAAAGTTACTCTGTTGTAGAACTTGTCTTTTGCTTTCCATTGTTTCTGTTGAGAAATTGGCTGTCAGTCTTATTGCTCCTCTGAAATTAATGTGTCTTTCTCTGGCATCTTTTAACATTTTCTCTTTCTTTGGTTTTCAGTGGTTTGATTATGATGTGTGCAGATATGGTTTTCTTTGCATGTACCTGTACTACATATCTCTTATACTCTTTTAAGTGTTTTTACCTGTCTCAGATAATTTCTCTCACCCTTTCCTACATAGTTCCAGTATGTTCCATAGTTTCCCATAGTTCCAAGTTTCATTCCATGTTGACAAACATTCAAATACTCACTATGAATGAGCCACATAATCCAAAGGCCCGGACACCCAGGACTTTATTCCCTCTCTGTATATCTACATTTGCGGCCTTTTGCATCCTTTTTGCTGTCTGAGCTCTGGTCTCTCAGCCTCTAACTCTTCTGATATTACCCAGTTTCCCCCATCTCCAGTTCAGCCATTTTGCCTCCATGTGCATCTTCATATACACCGGTCAGTGTGCTTCTGCCAACCTGGGCCAGGTAATCTGTAAAGGGGGGGGGGGTGTCCCTCAGAACACAGAACAGGAGGATAGAATGCATGTGTCAGCAGCCTGGATCCCTGAGTGGTTCTCCTATTGCAGCTGGACTATCACTCCTGGAACCCAGGTACCACGCAGAAGCCACCACACATCTCCAAGGATATGACAAAAAAGGGTATTGTAGACTCACTGCTCTGTCTCCACCAGGCCCATATGCTCAAAAAGGTCAAGAAAAGCAGGACATATAACCAAATATAACATGATCAAGGGCCGGTTGAGAGGAAGAATCAAAGCTAGGATTAAGAACATGAGCAAAACAGTGCATAAAAAGATAAATCTTAAAATGTAGAGACCAAAGGACCAATCTGGAAATTACTGCTGTCATCTCAGTGTGAGGAGATGGGAGTCTGGCCCGGGGTAGGGGTTGTGGGGTAGCAAAGGAAAGGATTGATAAAGAGAGTCTGAATCCTTAAAACATCTTACACATTCAGTTTCTCTATGCCCCACCGCTTTCTACAAATACTTGCGGGAATTTAAATAAGATTAACATAATATAGTTAATAAGATAAAAACAGACATAAAAACAGACGTATGAGCCATCCAAATTCACCAGTTGATGCCGCCAGTCCCTGTCTCACCAAGCAGGACGTGGAGTTTTAGCCCAGAGCTTGCCTTCTCAGGTGGATAGTAAACGACAGTCTCAGAGATCACAGACTTCCAGAATCTTTGCACTGGTCACTTAGAAGTTTTTTAGAGAGACTTTGTGAGGTAAAGATTGAAAGAACTAGAAGATTGAGTTTCAGAAGAGAAGGAAGGAATGAGGGAGATTAAAAGATGAGTCTGAGGTTATGAGTGTGGGCACGATTGGCCTAGACAGGTTTGGAAGGAAAAGTGTAAGTTTGAGTAATAGTAGGACACTTACGGGAAGAAATTAAGCAGACAACTGGACAAGGGGTCGTTGAGATCCAGATCGGACTATCAAGATTGATTGTGGGTGGGCCAAGGACTCTTAGGGCACACCTACAGTTAGGGATTTGAGACAGACATGTGGAGCTTGGGAAGGAGAAGGATCAGTTTATGAGAAAAAACAGGATATCTCCCCAGTGTCTTATCTCTCCTTCAACTCTGTTCTCTAATCCTCCCTCTTATCTTCCCCTGGAGTCTTCTCAGCAAGTATTCTAACCTCCCCCACAGGACATTTTGAATTTACTCAGTCCTGCCTTCAAAGCATTCCACCCTAATCTGCCAGGAGAGTCTGGTACGGCCACTCTTCTTTACTGAGGCAATCTGCCCGGCACCACTGCACAGGAGGGGCCTCTGAGTGTGGGCATCTAAAACCGTTGCCTCTAAATCTTAATGGACTGCACACTTCTAACTTCCCCATCAATCATCTCTCTCCCCTCCTTTTATACCAGGCTCGAAACACCTTCAGGAATCTTGGTCAGACTTGTTTGAGCTGACTTTGATCAGTTCTTCCCTCTTACTCCATCTGTACCTGTGGGGCTGCACAACTCCAGAGTGGGCACTCACATGGAATTCTCTGAGAATGGTTTCCGCAGCAGTTTTGAGACATGGTGGCCATCTGTAAATGGTAAGAGAAAGGATCAAGAGTTCTGATGCCAAGTCTTCTCTTTTGGCTGGAAGCTCCAGATTAGAGGTCTCGCCTTCTCTCCACAATAGCCAAACAGCAGCTCCTATTATTCCATTGCTGGCCTCTAGAGGGCTCTCTATTTAAACCTTGGGCAATAATCCAAGGAATTAAAATGTGTGGTCCTAGAGTGTCTCACCTCCACACTAGGTGGGTGACATTTTCCACTTTACGGATTGGCTGAAATCAAAGCAACAATCCCATTTACTTAAAAAGAGGACAGTTGACACTTTTAACTGAAAGGATAAACTGTTACAGCATGGACACGGCACGTGTCAGGTAATGATGAGGTTCAAAGAGTAGGCTCTATAAATTATCAGGGATTCCCAGAGCACTCCCCTCTTTATCCCTGCTGTAGAGTTCTTACAATTTTTTTTAAAACCTGTACTGTATAAGTAATTGTGTTTCTTTTATTCCTTCTTAATATGGTTTAGTTTTACTCTGTCATTTTGTAAAAAAATAAAGCTTGCTTGAGATTTGCTTATTTTATTGACTATTTTTAAATATTTTATGTGTATTCTTATTGTTTCTCCATTTTCTACAATATTAATTTCTATTTGCTTCCTTCTACTCTCTTTATGTTTAAACTGTACTTCTTCTAGTTTTGAAAAATTGAATAGTTAAACCACGAGTTGAGGTGGCTTTCAGCTTCAGGTAAGAATGGCTCCAGGAGACAAGGGGTTCATTTTTCTTTTGTAACCTGTCTGTAGTAGGCTGTCCAAGGCTGACGTCGTGGCTCCTTCTCTCTTCCAGATCTGTCGTCCTTTGTGGCTTTCATCTTCATGATTACAAATGGCTTCTGAATCTATAGGCATCCTGTGCATGTTCCAGGCAGCTAGAAAGAGTAAAGGAGATAGGGGTCTGTTCTTATCTCTTTTCTTGGCATTGACTTTGTCAAGTAACTGTTTTCTGATGATTTCTGTCTCTTCTTGATAAAATCTTACTGCTGTATAACATACAGAAAAGCACACAGATCATAAGTGCACAGGTCAGTGAATTATCACAGGGTGAACACACCCATGTAACTAATATTTATTCAAGACATAGAAATTTCCAGCATCCCAAAAGCTCCCTCATGGCGTCTCCTCCGATCACTTCTCCTTCCTTTCTCCCCAAAGGTAACTGTTATTTGGACTTTTAATACCGTGTATAGTCTTGTCTGTTTTTTTAAATTTATATTAATGAATCATACAGTATATACTCTTTTACTCTGGCTTGTTTTGCTTAACATTCGTTTGTGCGAGTCATCTATTTGTTGCATTTAGCAATAGTTTGTTCATTTTTGTTATTATGTAAGTTTTGTCTGTGTTGTCAATTTTATCAGTATTTTAAAGTAACAAACTGTTGCTTTTTTGATGTTCCCTGTTATGAGTTTGTTTCTATTTCATCAATTTCTGCTCTTTATTATTTGCTTTTTTCTACTTTCTTTGAGTTTATTTGCTATTATTCTTCTAACTTGATGAGATGATACTCAAATAATTGCTATTGAGCCTGGGACTTTTTTCTGATATTTTCATTTAATGCTATAAGTCTTGCTCTAAGCATGGTTCTAACTGCAGTGCACAAGTTTTGACATATATTTTCATTTACATTTAGTTAAAATATGTTTTAATTTTCATTATTTCTTTATAGACCCACGGTTTTTTGATAGTTCCTTTTGAGTGTATTGCTTCATTTCCACACATTTGAGATTTTCTAATTATCTTTATATTACTTGATTTCAAACAATACCATTGTGGTCAGAAAATTTACTCTGCATGATTTTAAATAGTTTGAAATTTATTGAGGTTTACTTTATGGCCCTGTATGATCAATTATGGTAAATGTTCCATGTGCACTTGGATATAATGTGTTTGAGGTCAAATTGGCTAATTACATTGTTCAAATCTTCTACAACCTCACAGAAGTCCACTTGTTACATCAGTTACTGAGATAGGTGTGGTATAATTTCCCTCTAAAACTGAGGATGTGTATGTTTTTCATTATAGTTATGTCAATTTTTGCATTATATATTTCAGACGATGTTATTAGGTGCAAAGCAAATTTGGAATTGTTATGTCTTCCTTGTGGATTGTCAGGCCAGATCAGTATTTTTGTTGTTGTTGTTAATGACTAACGTATATTTTCTATATTTTTACTTTTGACATTTCCATATCCATGAGGCAGTCCCCTATTGAAGGATATTTGCGTTGTTTCCAGTCCTTTGGTATTACAAGGAGTGCTACAATTAATAGTTTTATGCTTACATCATTTCTCATTTTTGCCCAGGTATTTTTGGGATAGAGTGCTAGAAGTGGAATTGCTGTTTCAAAAGGTAAATTCATGTGTAATTTTGCTGCATATTACCAAATCTCCATTTTGCATTCACACCAACAATGTATAAGTGTGTCTGTTTCCCCAGAAACAGAAAGTGTTGTCAAGCTTTTGGATCTTTGCGAATTTGAGAGGTGGGAAATGACATCTCAGTATAATTCTCATTTGCATTTCTCTTATTATGAGCAAGGTTGAGAATCTTTTCTTATGTCTAAGGGCCATTTTAATTTCTTTTTCTATGAACTATCTGTTTATATCTTTTGATCATTTTTTTCTATGGAGTTATTGGTCTTTTTCTTATCAAATTTTGGAAGTTCATTATATATTAAAGATAATAGCCCTTTGTGGTGAAAGTTGCTAATTATTTCCCAGTTTACCATTTGTCTTTTTCGTTCATTTGTGGGGTTTTGCCATGCAAAAGACTTGTTTGTTTGTTTTGTATTTATATAGTCAAGTTCATCTTCTTTCTCTATGGCTTCTAGAATTTTGGTCATAGAAGAGTTTTCCCACTGCCAGATTCTACAAGAATTCACCCACATTTTCCATTACCACATAATGGGGGGGGGGGTTGTTTGTTATTGTTTTTTCACATTTAGGTACTTGACTCTTTTGGAAATTCCCTACTTTATGGTTTAAAGAATGGTTTCAATTTTATCTTTTTCCATATGGCTATCCAACTGTGTCAACGTCACTTATGTAAAAGCCCTTCTTTTCCACAACAAGAGTAAGTGATATCTTTAATATATACTATTTGTCATATGCTCTTATATCTATTTCTAGATTTGTATAATGTTTCATTGATCTGTCTATTTACTCGTGCACCAACACCCCAATTTTCATAATGGAGACTTTAAAATCTATTTAGTACTCGACTGGGCTGTGACTATGGCCCCACAGCCCTTCCTTCTCAGAGATCTCCTGGGTGTTTTTGCTAGTTTATTCTTCCAAATAAACTTTAAAATCAATCTTTTAGGTCTAGAAAAAAAATTAACCGTACATTTATTGGGATTGCATTACCTTTCAAAATTAATTTAAGGAGAATCAACATGGTGTTGAATCTGTCTATTCATAAACATGACATGTTCTTCCACTTGGTCAAGTCTAACTTTTATCTTTGGAGAGTGTTTTATAATTTTCTCATGTTGGTTGTGTACATTTATTGTTAAGTTTATGCCTAGAAATTTTTCTTTATTTATTGCTATTGTAAATGTGGTCTTTCATTGTTTTTTCCACCTCACTGTTTTCTTTTCTTTTTTTTTTTTTTTTTTTGGGAAGATCAGCCCTGAGCTAACATCCATGCCAATCCTCCTCTTTTTGCTGAGGAAGACTGGCCCTGGGCTAACAGTCGTGCAGATCTTCCTCCATTTTATGTGGGACGCTGCCACAGCATGGCCTGACAATCGGTGTGTCAGTGCGCACTGGGATCCGAACCCGGGCCGCCGTAGTGGAGCGTGCACATTTCACCGCTATGCCACGGGGCCAGCCCCTCGTTGTTGTTTTCTATACGAAGACTTCTGATTTTTGTGTTTAATTTTGTATTCTGTTACTTTACTAAATTTTCATTTTGTTTTTAGTAGTTATCCATTTACTCTTTTGGATTTTCCAGATATATAATGATATAATCTACAAAAAAGATAAATTTACTTCTTTCTTTTTTTTTTTTTAATTTCTCTATTATACCTCCCCACTCCCTATGCTGGCTAATACCCCCAATACACTGTTAAATTATAATGGAGATAGTGAACAATCTTTCCTTTTCTCTGACTACTAGGAATGCCTCTATTTTTGCCCCAGTAAGAAAGATGGCTTTATATTTATGTATTTTTTCCATGTTAAAGAGGTATTAATTCCTATGTTAATTTTTAAGTCTGCTTAATCTACCAAATTCTCAAAGAGGTATGCCTAAATGCTCCCACAGAGATTGAGGATTTATCCATTAATCCTTCCAATTTTGTTAGTTTTTGCCTTATATATTTCAAGTGTTGAGTCTATATAAGTTTATAGTTGTTACGTTATTTTGGCATTTGTTCCTTTTGGCATTATATAGTGTCTCTCTTTATCCTTAGTGCTTTTTTGCCTTCTGCTTTGCATGACATTAAAATGGTTATGACAAGTATTTTTTGGTTAGTGTTTACATGGTATATCTTTTGCCATCCATTTTTTATTTTCAGCACTTCAGTGGTTTTGTTCCAGATGTCTCTTCTAAATAGCATATAAATAGATTTTATTTTTATAATCCCACATAAATCATCTCTAATTTTTTGCAGGTAAATTTATGTGTATTGGAAATACTGAGATATTTGGACTTATTTCTCCATCTTATCATGAGTATAATGTTTTACCACCTTTTCTTTAATTTTTATTCTCCTCTGTTTTCTGTTTAATTGACAATGTTTTTATTACATTTTCCCCTCTTCTAAATTAGAAGCCATCAATTGGATTTCTTTTGTGTGTGTGTGTGGTTACTTTTACATTTTTTTTAAATCATAAATCTAACTATAAATTTTTCTATAAAATCTAAAAATATTATATATATGTATGTATTCTTCCTACCAAACCAGAAAACAACTTTTTATTGTCTGGAGTTTTAGGTCACATCTTTATTTTAAAACAGTGATTATGATTGTTTCCTTATAGTTAATAGTTAATCAAATCCTTTAAGTGAATAAATTAATTAAACTGAACAACATATTTATACATTTTTGTGTTCTTGGTATTCCATGCCTTTCTTCTGAGATCCTATTTTTTCTCAATGAGGTACATCTTTCAGTAGTTCTTTCTTTGAGGATTTCAAGTGGTTAAATCATATAAATTCCCATTCCTCCTCTTGGAAACTACAAAGAACAACAAAAGGAATTTAAAACTTAATTTTCTTTTTTTAAAGATTTTATTTATTTATTTATTTTGCCCCCAAAGCCCCAGTAGATAGTTGTATGTCATAGCTGCACATCCTTCTAGTTGCTGTATGTGGGACGCGGCCTCAGCATGGCCGGAGAAGCGGCGTGTCGGTGCGCGCCCGGGATCCGAACCCGGGCCGCCAGCAGCAGAGCGCGAGCACTTAACCGCTAAGCCATGGGGCCGGCCCTAAAACTTAATTTTCCATAATCTAGGAGACAGACACATGCTTTGAACTCAAAATTATGTGCAAACATGTCCAAAAGTAGTTGATACCAAAAGAGCTACACAGAAGGCTCTGCAGGAAGATAGAGTAGTGTATAGGGTTCTATGAGTGGCAGAATTCAAAAATAACTGTTTGGAAGGTGAGGAGATGGAACTGAAAGACATTGGCTGGGCCCGGTGGTGGCAGTGCTCAGTGAAAGGGCCAAGTCCTCTGGAACTTGCTTAGGTTTGGGGAAACTGAGGATGTGTGGATATATAAAAGCAGCATATTTAAAAGGAAACAACCCATCTTTCTAGATCCAGGAAAGGGAATCCTTGAGCTGCACATCATGGAAGGCTATTCTTGTCCCTTCATAACCCAAGACCAACA